AAGTTGGTTCGGTATCGGTATTTCCTTACGGTTTATGTTGGGATTTGGTTTGGTATCGGTATTCAGATGTTCTGTAATTGACATCACTAGAAGGGACACACGAATCTTTGAGGATGCCTTCGAAAACTTCTGAGAACCTTAATTGGCCTTGGATAGTTCAGTCGAACTTTTCAGCGACAGACTTTGGTAACCCCAAGCCGGCATCTGAGGGATCACAACTAACGTGCACCTCTGAGGGCCTCAACACATGTTTCTTATGTCCCTACGTAGGGTCTTAACCCGGCACCGCCTGGGCTATTTCCGTACCCACGACAGCCTAGGGGGGGGGGGTCGGATCCGACCCCCCCCTGTTATCTCGAGAACCAATGGTCGTATCGAGCCCCGCGAGGCGGCGTTCGAAAGGTCTCTACGAGACCTTCCCAAAGCACTCTTAAATTTTAAGATTGAGGTCAACTTTCGGGTCAAGGTTAGGTCAAAGGTCAAATTCTGGGGTTTTGCATGATTAGGCTTACGGACAGCGGAATCGACAGCTGCTGCTCGAAACTCACCAAAAATGACATCAAAGACCTAGTGAAGGTACCATGTGCGTATAGGGGTCATACTAAGTACGGGTCAAGGTCAGGTCAGGTCACGAAAGGTCACGATTTTCACTTTCTGCTACATGGGCGTAAGACACATGTTTTATGGCTTATTTTTCACGCCGAATCCGATGGTAATGGTTATATGTGACCCCAAGTCACTGTGCTTGGTGATAAGCGTGCATTGAAAGCATAAAAAATCGTTTATACCATACATAACTAAGAGAGGGCTAAGAAAAAAGGTCAATTTTTCAACTTTTTATTTTTGACATAAAAATGCACTATTCTAGACGAGCTTTGTCCCAGGAATCTAGTGGTGCCATTTGTTTTCACATGCGATGTTCAGAAGTGCCTCTAATTCACGAAAATGCTTATGACGTTACCATGCCCTATGCATGTTGGAGCTATTTTTTACAATTTGGGGGTCAAAAATCAAGATAGAAAGTTGAAATTTGGGACATCTAATGTTCTAATAGAGCTCTATAACATATATTCCTGTTTTTTGGAAATTCTCAAAATTTTGGATTTTATGAGCTGTTTTCCAAAAAATATAGTTTTTTGAATTTTTAGGGGTGAAAAACGCATTTTATGGAAAATCCGAGATAGACATTTTAAAGAACTCGTAGAGGTGCATCTATTCATGTCCTTAGTTTGCAATTTGCTTTAAACCCTGATTTTTTGCGATTTTTTAAACATTTACCACTTTTTGACTGAAAACGCCATGTAGTTACATCACTAAAATCGATATATCTAAAAAAATTTGGAAATTTTTTCTCAAAAATTGCACAGGAGACGTCAAATTGATGGGGGAGAAGGTATGCCAAGTTTCAAGTCGATAGCGTAAGCGGTTCATAAGTTATTCAAGAAAAACGGAGGGGGGGTCGGATCCGACCCCCCAGGCGGTCGCGGGTTAAGGGATTCGACACAGACCCCGACGGTTCACACTGTTATCCGAGGGCTCCAGGCTTACCCTGGGCCCAGTCTCTTAGCGCCCGCCGACTACACTGGCTTCTGTGAGTCCCACCTTGGGCTCGGAAAGCCCCAAAGCACCACATACACGTAAATATTTGGGATGACCCACGCCGATCTCAGGTGTCCTAAGCAGGCTTCTGAGAGTCCACACTGATCATGAGTGGCCTGAAATGGCTTGGAAGTCCCAAGCCTATCTCTAAGGGATCCCTTGCCGCTATGCCGTGCGTAACGTTTGGTTCCGTTAAACATTTTTTGTTCACGTTTGACTCGAGTGAACAAAACACTTCCTCTCACTGGAGCAAAGATGAATTATTTCCGATTCACACTTCCGAGATTCACTCTCAGTCTCCGGCGAATGCCCAACTTCGCTACAATCGGCGGCTTGGATAAGCCCTATGCATTTCACGTAAAACCTCTGCATGCATGCGTGAATGGAGGTTTTAGCAGGGTGATCGGATTAAATGGAGCGTTTGTCACCTTTTTCTGGGTAATGATCATGAGCGACGAGAGTCTGCACAAGGTCCCTCTGCAGTGCGTCGGCAACGCAGCCACTGTAATTCTACCGGTCGTTTTTGTCCAGAAATTTGAAAATTTCGAATTTCTCTGTAAAAAAGTTGCATGTCATAGCTAGAAGGAAAACTTTGTCACCATGGAATTATTCGCACCATTGCGCGTCGAACGATATGTAAAACGAGTGAGTAACGACTGGGGAAAGGCAAGATTTAACACAAAAGTTGATTTTGCCCCCCCCAACCGAAAATCTCTGGCGACGCCTATGCCTTACCGAACCCATCGGTGTTCTACATACATAGTTACGCCTGATTTGTGGAGCTCGATCTTCGCCGTTTCGCCCCTAATTGAACTAGAGATGGACAAAAAAAATGAGTGGTTGCGCAACTTCGAAACGCTGCGACTAGACCCAATTGCATAGGCCTTGAACCGTTGAACTTTGAGGCCAATTCACTGAAAACTTTTTTACCATTTCCTGGGGAGTAAACCCGCCATAGCATGGTAGCTTGACACACAGACGTTTTTTACCACCTTCCAGATGGTAAATTTTACTCTTTCATGGAGAGTAAACTCGTCAGGGAGGGGTAACGTGACACCCAGACGTTTTTTACCATCTTCTGTATGGTAAACTCTTTTGATTTACTCTCGTCTAGAGGGTAACATTTTCGGAGGTTACGCTCTGTGGAAGGGTATCTCTTTAACTTGACCCTCCTCTAAAGAGTAGCATGCCATCTACTCTGTGATTTACCCTCTTACAGAGAGTATACCCTTCTGGCTTACCCTCAGTCAAATGGTAATGCTTACTCTTCCCCAAAGAGTTTACCCTCCACAGGATGGTAGCTTGACACACAGACGTTTTTTACCACCTTCCAGATGGTAAATTTTACTCTCTCATGGAGAGTAAACTCTCCAGGGAGGGGTAACTTGACACACAGACGTTTTTTACCATCTTCTGTATGGTAAACTCTTGATTTACTCTCGTCTAGAGGGTAACATTTTTCGAAGTTACACGCTGTGGAAGGGCAACTCTTTAACGTGACCCTCCTCTAAAGAGTAGCATGCCATCTACTCTGTGCTTTACCCTCTTACATAGAGTATATCCTTCTGGCTTACCCTTAGACACATGGTAATGTTTACTCTTTCCTTTAGTGTAAATCCCCCAGAGGATGGTAACGGACCCACAGACGCTTTCTTCAGAAGCTTCGCGAAGCTTCTGTTAACCGGAGTTCATCTTTGAGTTCATCTTTGCTCTTTGCTGGCGAATATCTTCAATTGAACCACGTACCGTTACCATGCACATAATGGTAGCAGCGAGGTACCCTTTCAATATACTCTTATCTTGCGGGTTTGGTGAAAATGAATCCTCCAGGAAGTGGTAAAAAAGTTTTGAGTGTTCGAATAGGTATCTCAAGATAGGTGTCCGGTTTAACCCTCGCCGGCGAAGGGGGGAGGGCAGGTGCCCCCCCCCCCGCGATAGATCCAAACGCGCTGGCGATAGAGAGCTGAAACTTAGCATACCCGACCTTTGATTCAAACCGGATCTTTGGACACCAACCGCATTTTCGGGTCAGGTCAGGTCACTGACCTATGACGTCATAAGTGAATCTCTGCACGGTCTTCAGATGTTGCAACTTCGCAACGCCCTCATTGCCAGAGGAGCTTTCACAGGGAAATGAAATTGCAGGAACTAGTATCCAGACATGGGCACGGATCCCAGACAACCAATAACGGAAATCGAGATGACCATTTGATTGACGGTCTTCAAGCATGATATTATGGTGGAAAACATGGCTAATAGAAGCCTCTCAATGAACAAACTATTTTGCTTTCCTTCAGAGTTAACAGTTCTGAGTAAATCCCTCAAGATCCATCTCGGATCCATGATTAGTGAACATGAATCCGAGATGGATCTTGAGGGATATTCTCAAAACTGTTAACTCTGAGGGAATGCAAAATAGTTGGTTCGTTGAGAGGCATCTATTAGCCATGTTTTCCACAACAATTCCACGCGCAAAGACCACTAATCTAGGGGTCATCTTGATTTTCGTGTTTGGTCGTCTGGGATCCGTGCCCATGTCTGCTAGTATCCATTAGGAGTCTCGTAACTTGTATATCTCGGATTTTTCCTAAAGGTCATATGCGGTCAGGTCATTTTCATGCAGACCTCACCATGATAAGTCAATGGGGAAAAATGAAAACTGCTATCCTGGCTACGGGAACGATCTCAAACTATCTCAAGCACACAGAATCGTGATTTCATGCACACCTTGCAAGGCTCGATGCGTCACTTTTGCAATGTTGACCTTCCGTGACGTCATTTATGCCGTCATTAGGATCATATTAGTTTTTCGTCACTAGCTCTCGAAGAAATTGAGCTAGCGAGTCGCGACAGCTACCAATGGACTCAGGAAGACCTGCCGAATCAAATGATATGCAACATGACCTCCTTCAACCAGTTTGGTGACCTGGGGGCGCTGACCTGACCGTGACCCGAGGTCAACACTGTAAGTTGACCTCGACCAAACAAAAAGTATACCATTCGCTGTGCCTGAGCGAGGCAAACACAATGCTGCCCAAAGCACGGCTCTGTGGCCGTTTTTTTGCGAAGTTATTCACCAAAAATGGACGCGTACCTAGGGGTACTTGACCCGTGACCTCAGAGGTCACCGGTTGACCTAGGACCTTAAACTCGGGTATCAATCTCTGCGTTGCAAAACGGCGCACACGCTCGTTTTTTCCTGCGACGCGCTACCCACCATGGGGTGAAACGGCGAGAGGGGGGGTCGTACCCGCCCCCGGCTTCGGCCGGCGCGTACCTATGTAGAAAACCAATAGGTCCGGCGAAGGATAAGGGGAACAGCATTGTTAAAAATGATTTCAGAGCCATACATTTGGAATATTCGTGTTCGTCATGTCCAGGCGCGTCGATTTTCAGGAAGGTCGTGCTGCCTACAGATGAAGGTCAGGTCAAAGCCCTGCTAGTGCTCACGATGTTTGTTGAAGGAGGTCATGTTGCACATCGTTCGACTCTGCAGATATTTTTGAAGTCAGTTGGAAGCTTTCCTGACTCAATCTCGGTTCGATCGGAGCGGCTGTCGGTGCCGCTGTCGATCTCACCCGACCGCCGCTGGAGAGGGTGACACTCCTGGGTCAGCAGCCCGGGCCGGTGAAACGCCGCCGTGCCGGACTGAGCCGTGCGTCCGGCCGACCGGTCGACCCACTGGGGGCGGCAGGTCGGGCGGCCGGGGCGGCTCGCACTGCCGGCCGCTCCGCCGTCCCGACAGCATGGCCCGCTCCCGGCCGCCCCGTTCGCCGCCGCTGGTCCCGGCGCTGGCGCTGGTGCTGGCGCTGACAGCCAGCCCCATCGCGGCGCGTGTGCACGTGCAGAGTCTGCCTGCCGACGCTGGCCGGCCGGCCGGGCAGGGTGTCGGCGGTGAGGACTACCAGGGTCACCAGGTGCTGAAGGTGTTCGTGGCCGACAACGGCACACTGGACCTGCTGCGCAGCTTTGAGGGCAACCCAGGTGAGTGGCGGACGGACACGATGACGGAGTTTGAAAGGAATACGGTGGAAGGATTCGTAGTTTTGGTATGGGACTACATACAATGACCATATTACACGATGATCATGCTCTATCGTAGTTATCGTAGTCCCATGTCAAACTGCGTGCGCACCACACAGTTCGTGGCACTGGCAGGGTTATGAGCGGTCATCATTATACGATAACAGTCTGATTAAATAATGGTACGTTTGCGACGTTAGGTATATGCTACGTACGTGCCATCATTTAACCCGCGCGGGGCTGGGGTCTCCAGCCGAACGCGCGGGGCTGGGGGGGGGGGGTAAATTTTACCCCCCCCTGTTATCTCCCGAACTAATGGTCCGATTTGGAAAATTCAAACGCCAATCGAAAGCTCTCATCACGAACTACTAAAAACATGTACTTAATTTAAAGTTTGAGGTCAAGGTCAAGGTAAGGTCAAGGGTACAAATTACAAGTTTCTACAGTATCGGCCATGCACCGTAGTTGCCGAAGAATGGAGTCATGGACTGAGACTGATCGCCCAAAACGTGTTCTTAGGCTACCAAGACAATATTCGTTGCATACAATATCATTCAGAGGTCAAGGTCAAGGTCAGGTCAGGTCAGGTCAGGTCACCAAAAAACAAAATATAGAAAAGGGCATGTGCGACACATGTTTTATGGGTCATTTTACTCATAGAATTCAATAGGCACACTCAATAAGTGATATGGACCACCTCTGGATGAATTTCAGGTCGAGGTCAGGTCAAGGTCAGGTCAAGTGAGGTCAAATTTTGAAGTTGGTTGTTAAGGCCTAAAAAGGTGTCTATCTGATGCAGTTTGTCACGGCGAATCGAATGGTGCTATTTTTGTTTCCGTACGAGGTCTAGAACTTCTAAAAAAGTCATTTTTCAAAAAAATTGTGTGTCGTGACGTCATAAAATTTTGAATAACTCCCACATTTTTGAACCGATTCTTCTAAAATTTAGTATGTAGGTGCACATAGACCACTTCTCTGATATATATTCCGGTTTTTTCGATAGACTCAAAATTTTGGATTTTATAATGATTTTCCCAAAAAAATCAGTTTTTTTGAAAAAATTTAGGCCAAAATCCAAAATTTTCAAAAAACCGAGATAGCCATTTGATAGACAAAGTAAAATTACGTATAACCTTTTTGTTACGTCTTGATTCCTTTAAAAATGAAGATGTTAGCGGCGTTTGAACTTTTGCCGTTTTTGAGGCGAAAATGGCGAACATGACGTCACTAAAACGTCAATTTCTCAAAAAATTTCCGACGGATTTCGCTCAAATTTTCAGGGAACGTGCCAAATTGATGTAAGAAAAGGTACTGAAAGTTTAGCGGCGCTGCGCGCCGCCGTTTTTGAGATATCGCAAAAATTCGCGAGGGGGGGTAAAATTTACCCCCCCCCCAGCCCCGCGCGGGTTAAAACAATGCCTACACATTTGACATTCGAAATATAACATAAATGTACTTATTGTTCGTTTTGAATGGGTAAATGTATACGATAATTCAATTTCTTATGTTTACATGTATTTATACTGCTTCTCCGAGAATTTATGTACTCAGATATGATTGAAGATTAACGCCTCTTGCATTTTCGCAAAATTTAAGAAAAGATTATTCGATATCGGGGAAAATGTTCAACCACATCTTACCACATGCCTCTAAGCACAAGGCGAAATGGATCTATTTGAAAACCCGTATATCAAATTCCTATTTGCTACGAACTATTGAAACACTCCTAATGAAATCGCATTGACGCCAATAGTAACCGTTAATAAAGTTAACAATCACCGAATTAGGCATCGGTATTTCAAAACATATCAACCGCATCCTATCTCGAGCAGCCCATGAGCGCTGTGTCACTCTGCTCGCAAATCACGTAACCTGTCCCCCATTTCCCCTACCCTGAAGCTTTTATGGGGACATCGGCGGCATCGAATATCGTAATTCGTATGTGACGCATCGGCTCTCTCGCTGTCAGATGTGGACTTTTGGACGCCGGCGAGTGGCCTGAACCCCACCGTAGATGTCCTGGTGGCCCCCGACGTGGGCCGCCGGCTGAAGGAGGAGCTGACCCGATCCGGGGCCTCCTACACCGTCAACATTGAGGACGTGCAGGTGAGCGAGTGTCACGCTGGTGAGACAGCTGAGCACTGGCGCCCCTCGTGCGTGAAAGCAAACAGAGCTGCAGGCGACATTCCGAGCCACCTCACAGTCTCTGCATACCAATCAGCTGTCAAAGCCATCCATCACTGCACCATCGATCCTGTTTTTTGCACGTCTGAAATAGCAGCAGTGCCAAGTTTCCATCATCCTCCGACACTGATCACCGATGGATTTGACAGTGCTTTCTTGCATTTCCATACTGGTCCCTGGACCGGTTTGGGCGGTCTTGTTAGAAGCGCGTTCGTTTGCTGTTTTTCAAAGCCTGGCATTAGCCGCTGACTGCTGATCTCAGAGCACTCACACCGAACATTACACTCACCGCACCGCACAGTGCACTCACCGCACCGTACAGTGCAGTGAGTGCAATCGACCGCTGGTTTGTAATCCGACTTTTAGACGATGCCGACCGCTGACCGCCAGCTAGGTAGGTATCTACCCACCACATACCTTCGACCGACAAGCGCTTACTGCTGAGTACTGACCATTGACCTTACAGAACTCATACCAAAATGAATTACCGATACTGACCACTTACCACTTACCGCGGACTACTGACCAATAACCATTGACCACTGACCACACTGACCACTTACCACCGACCGCTGACCGCCAGTCACCGACTGCTGACCACTGACCACTGACCTCTGGCCACTTGGCAACTGACCAGCCACTGACTACGAACACTGGTCAAACACCACTGACCGAAGACCACTGACCGAAAACCACAGACCACTGACCACAGACCACAGACCACCGGCCTCTGACCTCTTATCAATGACCGCTGACCACTGAACATTAACCGCTGACCTCTAACCACTGACCTGTGGCAACTAACCAGCCACTGACTACTGACTACTGACCGTTCAACTCTGACCACAGACAGATGACCAAAAACCACTGACCACTGACCACGGACCACTGATCACTAACCAGTGACCACTGGCTACTGACCGCTGACAATTGACCACAGAAAACTATCCAAAGATCACTGACCACTGATTGCTGACCACTGATCACTGCCCACTGCCCATTGACCTCTGACCACTAATTTCTGTTTACTGACCAATAAACAATGACCACTGATCGCCGACCACTGATCATTGAGCACTGGTCGTGGACCTATGACCGCTGACCACTGGCCTCTGACCTCTGACCGCTGACCGCTAACCTCAGACCACTGGCCGCTGACCACAGACCTCTGACCTCTGACCTCTGACCACTGACCTCTGACCACTGACCGCTGACCATTGACCACTGACCTCTGACCTCTGACCTCCTACAGGCGGCCGTGGAGGAGGAGAGCCCCGTCATGTCTGACACGGAGCGGGAGCTGCTGGTGGGTCGCAGTGGTCACCCGCTGACCTGGACGGCCTACCACTCGGCGGACGACCACCACCAGTACATGGACTTTATCGAGCAGAACTACAAGGGACTCTGTGAGACGTTCAGTATCGGCACCAGTACCGAGGGCAGAGACCTCAGGGGCGTCAAGTGCGGCCTGGGAAAGCGCGAGGTCTGGATTGACGGAGGTGGGTGAGCCGTGCGGTATAGATGAACAAAAAGAGACGATTTTAACATTAAAATGTGCAGTTAGCCATTGAGGTTCAGATAAAAAAATCACGTTGAAATTTTCTAGCGAGAGTACAAACACTTGCTTCAGATGAAAAGAAATGACAGTACTTTATCGCCAGAGTGGGCATAGCTTTAGCAATTATTGTGCATACCCCTTTCTCCTCCCTAATCCCCTGCCCGTCTCTCCGACCCCCAGGTATCCACGCTCGCGAGTGGGTGTCGCCGGCCGTCGTCTCCTGTCTGATTCGGGAGTACTCCCAGCGCTCCGTTAACCACCAGGACCTGCTGAGGAAGCACACCATCTACATGCTGCCCATTCTCAACCCGGATGGCTACGAGTACACTCGCAGCGGCGGCAGTGCGTATCGTAGACACTTGTTCACGTGGGCTCAAGCACAACCCATGAAAAAGAAATGTTTTCTGTAAAGAGCAATCAATTTTGATATAATGTAAAAACTGCCGATAAGTGAGAGTTCGAGTAATTGAAAAAATATGATCACGAAGTTATACTGCTCTTCAATTTTTGAATTTTATATCATTTAATTTGAATTGCATTCGGTAGTTTTTTTTGTGGCACTATATATAAGCGCTTTTACTTTTATCACTAACCATTCTTTTTCAGGGCGCCGTCGCTTCTGGAGAAAGACGCGGTCTCGTAACCCGGGCAGTAGCTGTATTGGAGCCGACCCTAACCGAAACTTCGACGCCCACTGGGGCGAGGTGAGTTCTCTCAACAGCCGGGACGATTAGCTGCAGATCAACAGGCTTTGGTATTTTGAAGCATAGTTAGACCCAATTTAGACAAATCAGTTGAAATACGAAATATTTTTGCTGTCTGAACTGTAGATCACGCGCCAATGACAAATGGAAAACGAAGTCTGCTGATAAGAAACTGTCGGATAAACCCTTGTCTTAGACGAAGTCCTGGGTCCTGACTTGTTTATGTTTTCATGGTCAACCATTGGAGTGACCCTCCTCCGATTATTTTATTGACCGGAAGGCTATTGTTTTATGCCGAAAGTTTGAGATGGCAGCAATAATCTGCGATACACTGGGCGTCTGATACCGCTAACTGCTGCCCATGCTGATTGCTGGACCGTTTTCTGTAGGGGCAGTGGGATAACGCGCCCTCCCATGGCCTTCGTTCCAGACGGGCAGCTCGATGGACCCGTGCAGCGACATTTACGCCGGCTCACGGCCGTTCTCTGAGCCGGAGACCCGCGCCCTGCGTGACTTCCTGCTGGGACGCGTGCACGCCATGAAGATGTACATTTCCTTCCACAGGTGAGTATCTGGTACAGCTTCACGTGTGTTATACTGGATGCTTTGAGGGTTTGATGAATTTTGCTCGCTCATGTAACCAACGAGCGACTTTGTAAGCTTACGGACCCGCGCCGCGTGCAGATGCACTGCTTCATGAATGAATAATATCGCTGACATGGCCCTTTACTGGGTAAAGACGCTAAGGTGACGGAGAGAATGTGATAAGATACCAGTCCTCGTGATGCATAAGTTACATACACACGTCTTTCGCCCATCATGACGGACACTCCCCTCTGTGCACATGTTCCAGCTACTCGCAGATGCTGTTCGTTCCGTACGCGTTCAGCAAGGAGCGTCCGGCCGACTACAAGGAGCTTCTCCGGGTGGCCAAAGCGGGAGAGAAGGCCATCCGCCGCACCTCCGGCAAAGCCTACCGGGTGGGCCAGGCCTCGCAGCTGCTCTACGAGGCGGCCGGCGGCTCGGACGACTGGGCCAAGTCCAAGGCCGGCATCAAGTACTCGTTCACGTTCGAGCTGCGCGACAAGGGCCGACAGGGCTTCCTGCTGTCCGCTAGCCAGATAGAGGACACGTGCACCGAGATTGTGGCCGCCGTCGATACCATGATCACCACGAGTGCTGAACAGGACGACAAAGCCTAGCACAGGGCCACTCCGAGAGCTCCTCAGAACCGGGCAGGGCTCGATATGGTCGGCCAAAACAATGTTCTAGGAAAACGATATTGTAAATACTGTTCTGAGCTTACCTGGTTGATGTTAGAGGTAAGAACTAAGAAGCTAAACGGAATATTAATAAGATGAGTGAAAGTGAAAGTTAACTGATAATGCTGAGCTTAGCGATAAATTCGCTCAGCTTTTAACGGAATTCCTCTGTTTTTCGTCACTCGCGAAAGCTTTTTTCGTACAGTAGGTAGGTTCTTATTTTCTACTTGAGCTCATTTCATCCAACATCGGGTGAATATAGTTATTATATGACAGCTTGCGGGCGAAACTGAAAGCAAGAAATGTCTGAACGGCTGCTCATGATGGTATGCGCTCATATGCCGTCCATTTGTTGTACTTTGTTGGCTGTTATGTTTATTTGCCCTTGCGAACAATTGGATAATTTTTGCGTGTTATGTGACCCACCATTGAAGTGTAAGATCGAATTTCATAAGAATGTGTTTTGAAAGACTGGTCTGTTGTGCTTATTTAGCATACCTACTTATTGGTGTTTGAAGAATATGCATTTTATACAGCGTGCACCGTAAATGGTCACATCTGTGACAGAGCTGTTATATGCATAGTTTTACGCTGATTTTGTCTACTACGGGGCTCTGAACACGAGGGTGGTAAATAAACAAGCAATAAACACTGATCATGTTCGTCTTGAATGGTTCAGGGGTGCACGTCATGGCTTTTACGGAAAGGCAACAACGCATGCCTACGAGTTAACAACAAAAAATTGTAATAGTAACGAGACTGAACGTTCGACATGAGCCCCAGCCGGCAATGGCCATGAAGTGAATTTGATCGAATATGACGCATTTTCACGATTACCCAAAATAAATTACATTCTGGTGTTAGACACGCTGCAGTCGCCTTCTCTGCATCGCGGCCTCGTGAAAGGTGACTTCATTGATGAATAGAAACGCATCATAGGCCCTATGAGGAGTCTGGAATTCCAGGGTATCGAAAATAAAGCGCCTTTAAATTGGTAATTCATCTCCAATATCATCCCAGCCTTAGCAACAATTAAAGAAATAATAACTATTGCAAAACAACAATCAACACAATTGGCACTAACCTTTGCCTGGAACTTCTTTCTTTTATGGATAGGTTTAGCAGTACGTTTGAGACAAATGTGTAAATCAGAGGAATGTAGCCAGCCGAGACATGTGGCACATCGCCCGAGCGACTCCATTTACACTACAGATTATGATTTAATTACTTTTGGTACAACATTGTGCTCCTTTTCAGGTCATGAGGCTCAAAGGTCAAGCCAATTGCCAGCAATGAGACACGAGATTCAAGCACAAAAAACGAACAAATTTACTCCAGGCCATGCTTTGTGCCAGAAAGCCTAGCCACTTCTTCAAGATAATATAAAAAGGTGGTGCATTGCATCCGCCCCTTCAGCGCGGGCGAAGGCTAGATATAACTCAATGGATCTATTGAGTTTTGATAAAACATCTTATTTTGTCACATCTTGAGCTGCTGATTGCATCTTATGTTGTAAATGTAACAGGTAACTGTCTTTTTTATACCACTAAAGCACTATCGAGTATCAACACAACCGTTACGCGGACTCACCATCTGTTTAGCATCGCATGCTGTGGCGATGACTAATGCCATGAGAGACAAAGAGATGACCTTCAAAACCACTAACCCCGTGTGACCGAATGCTGAGAAGTGATGCAAAATCATAGCCGATTGATCTGGCGCATGGTCTCGACTTAGGTGCGGCAGCGATAGTGGGCGGGCATGAGTTTAAATTTAGGTTCCTGTCGAAATTATTCAATCCTAGCCAGAACTCAGCTGTGTTTTGAGAAGTTCATCGCATTTCTTTTGTGGTCTGTGATGCCAACACAAAATTACCCGCTGATTTAAAAGCTTTGTTCGTCCGTTACTTGATTGGCCTTAGATATCCGTTTTAAGCCAGACAGCCAGGAGTTCTGATAACAAAAGAAACTGACGTGGCATGGAACACTGTCTAGACGCACGATCGCCTCCTCTATGTCAACCGCAAATCCGTGAAAAGCCTGTGAACAGCGCATACCAGTCTCCAGGACCGGGCTTACACGGTCGAACCTGAATCTGTCGCCTGTCTGTGCCGGTGGCAGGAGGGGCAGCCGGCAGAGCCAGTGGCCGCTGGACGGCGGACGGTGGATGGCGGACGGTGGACGGTGGTCAGTGGACCGTGGACGATGTTGTGATCTTCGAAAGGAGAGTGCCGTCGAAGAAGAGGTCTGAAAAGGCCTGATTGGCTGACTTAGCCTTTTTCAGCTGAGATACCACATCAGCTACCGCAGATAAAGAGTTATGGGCTGGCCCCGAATCTCTACAGCACGGCCGAGGCTTCTTCTGCTGCTAATAGCACTGTCGCTGATGACAATGACAACTGAGTTATCAGACACTAATGGGGAGGAGGGTGACTTCAGTGGGTACCAGGTGCTTCGGGTGCTGGTCATCCGGAGGGATACCGTTGAAATCTTACGGAGCTACCAGGACCGGCCAGGTGAGAGAAGACGAGCGAACAGTGGGAGGATGTAAGTGACCAGGTGCAGGCCGAGCTGGGGTGAGACGATTTGACCTGTAGACCGGGTCGGTGTAACAACTGTTTCAGTTAAATATTTATTCTCCAAATAGCAGTCTTTTCAAACTAAATCAAATTACCGCTTAAAATAGGAAGAAGTTAAATTAAGTTGTATCTGTTTTAGTGCTTGTTGGAGGATCATTATTAATGTAAAAATCAAGTATTTCTTTATTATCATGACCTTTCCTCCTTTTCAAAATTATGCTGAGCCAAAATTATATTGTTTTAGCGTTTTCAAATATATCGGACACAGGCCTTCATCAGTGAAATATAAAAAAAAAAATATTTTTTGGTCGGTGCGTTCGTTTTTCTTAAGTTTGCCCCTCACTGTAAACGTCTTTTTGAACACAGCACGAGAATTGCTAGCTGAATTACTGAGAAAACTGGTTGGCGCACATTGATTTGACCAGATTTCACAGACGATCAATTTCATCAAATTTATTTACTATTTCACAGACTCGTAGCTCGTATTTGCCAATACCTACAGCCCCACAGCGATAGACGACTTCTCAGGAATTATGTCTGAACTAATAAATAAATTACACGGCGCTTTACATAACGTTAAATCTTCGGTGTTCAAAACTTATTTTGAAAATATTATTCATATCTACAATACAATGTGCGCTAAACAGTTTTCTCAGTAATTCAGCTAGCAATTCTCGTGCTGTGTTCAAAGAGAGGTTTACAGTGAGGGGCAAACTTAAGAAAAACGAACTATACCAATATAATTTTGGCTCCGCATATTTTTGAAAAGGAGGAAAGGTCATGATAATAAAGAAATACTTGAAGTTAAATTAACTGCAAATTGGTGGCTTAAATCCAAATGAAGCACCGTCTTCACCTTCTTGGCGACTTGCGAGAAAGCTGGTGAAATTATGGAATTGTTGACCTTTTTTTAATTTTGGATTGCCTTCTAATTGGGCATTGCCATCAGGTAAAATTTAGATTGTGCTAGGATGCGGTATTTAAAAAAGCGCATTGAAGGTTTGCTCATACGATACCAAACCCATATAGAGCTATGAACTAGTGACCGGCAGGGTCTGCCTGCAGTTGTCGTGCATATGTGAGCTCCGCAGCTGTGGATACCTTGCAATGACATCAGTGCCGTTATTGCATGGTGCAGTCTGATGACACTTGTGCTGAGACATTCATCACAAATCCGCCCACACAAATAACACGGATGTAAAATAGCGAACCTTGGTCAGACGGACTCCGTCACATTCTCACGATTAGGGGTACCAACCCAGAAATGCATCACTATGTGTGCATTGGGATTTGGGTGGATTACGGAAGCGAAATGACTGAACGCGTCTGGATTCCAGCGCCCTTCCCCCTCCCCGATGGAGAAGCCCCTGTTCGGGAGGATTCATGATCAATCTCCGTGAGATTAAGCATGTTTCCGTCTTCTTCCTTTCCCTTTCTTGTATGCCCCTTCTGGCTCGCTCACGGCCGATTACCGTGCTGTCAGGTGTTGACTTTTGGACGGAGCTCAGCGACCGGGCCGGGCCCGTGGACGTCATGGTCTCCCCCGATGTGGGCCGCCAGCTGAAGGAGGAGCTGACCCGCTCCCGGTCGTCATACGTCGTCAACATTGAGGACGTGCAGGTGAGAGAAGTCGCGGTGGAAACGGTGAAAATGTACATACGTCCCTGAGAGCTACTTGGAGTGAAGTGCGCTGTCGGTAGGAAGCTGATGTGCCTCCATTGCAGATGGAAACGCTTCCATTTAATTGTGTAACTGCAAGAATATTGAGGTGGTTCTTATTTAAAACGCCAATCGTCGAAGTTTCCTTGTGTGCAAAATAGTTGTCTGAAGTGACTTTCTTCAGAAAGCAATCTTTTTCCTTTTTTCGTGGTACGTAAAATAATTTATTTATGAAACCTGGCACTAAAGGTGCACCTATTTGGCTGGGATGTCACCACATAGGTACTAGAAATCGAGAATGCCAGGTAGCATGAATCATGACTCGTCAGGCGAGATTTTCTCCTAGACAGGTGGACCACTAATTATGTAAAGATCCCGTTATACAGACGAGTATTTTATCCCACGTCACCAGTTCCCGAAAATCCACGACATCTGTGTTACCATGTCACGACCAGGGTAATGAAGTCACGACCACATCAGCGAGGGATCGCATCGTTCGGAGCCCGGGGAGCACTATCACCACCCTGCAACGTTGACCTGTCCACAGGAGGTGGTGAACGCCGAGCACCCGACGGCCCCGCACGCCGACATCGGGCTGACGGCTCGCAGCGCGTTCTCTCTGACCTGGAGGAAGTACCACCGGCTGGCCGACCACCACCAGTACCTGGACTTTGTGGCCGACAGCTACAGCCGGCTCTGCCAGACCTTCAGCATCGGCCGCAGCTCCGAGGGACGAGATATCAAGGGAATCAAGTGCGGAAAAGGAAAACGGGAGATCTGGATCGACGGCGGTGGGTGTCCGGCTTTGGGAGTCACACGGGTCGGGTGGTGTTGGCTACTGATGAGGCTGAACGGCATGGGAATTGACAGTGATGGTCCAGAAGGCTTTGGAAGCTCCCTTACAACGTTGAGAAACTGTTTACATCAACAGTTTGGAAATGAAAGCGGCATAGCGGCATAACTATCGTCGAGTTATGAATGTAATATGGTTTGTTTTGTTTTGGTGGGTTAGGCCCTTTTGGTCCAGTAAAACCATTTCAGAGCCGGGAGGATGAAAGGATATAGGGGGGTGGGGGACATTGGTCTGGGCAGGCACCCTAGTGAGTCGCCGGGGCTGAACCCGTCCAGAGGACAGGCCACCCAGCCCCAAGGCATTCACTGCACCCGGCTACGGGGTGCGCTCCCTCGGGAGCAGCGGTGCCGCTCCAAGGGAGCAGCCCGCATGAGATGAAGTTGCCTGTCCAGCCCGGAGGGGGGTTGCGGCGTGGAGAAGAAGGATTTCAGCATCCTGAGGATAGAAGCACGGAACGGTGCTAATATGGTTGTGTATTACGGAACGACAGTTCTAATTAGGTGCACCATTTTGCAGGCATCCACGGTCGGGAGTGGATCTCGCCGGCCGTGGTGTCCTACCTGATCCGCGAGTTCTCCGAGCGGGCGCACCTGCACGAGCACATCTTGGGTAACTTCACAATCTACAGCGTGCCCGTCCTCAACCCCGACGGATACGAGTTTACCTACACGGGTGAGCTGCACTTGCGATAGTAAAACTAGAGGTCCGCCAGGCACAGCGAGGGGTGAACACTTTGTAGGAACCTGCATACATAATCAATCAGAGATCCTCGCCCAAAAAAAAAACGTTTTATTCGCTTTTGCTGTGCTGTTTCCATATCCGGTAGACATATCTTCGAAGTGGCATTAGCGGAGTGTTTGAATTTGAAGTGCAAATGCAAATTTTGATATATGTATTATGCTTTATTTTGCAGGGGGCAAGAAAAACCGTTTCTGGAGAAAAACTCGCTCAAAGAACCGCAACTCAAAGTGCATCGGTGTGGACGCAAACCGCAACTTCGACATCTACTGGGGAAAGGTAATTTCTCTCAAGAGCAAAGTGACATGCTTTAGAGGAAAGGTGGCAGGTAAAGGGCGAAAGACAACGCAACAATACTTACATCAACATCTACTACGCATATGCATAATATAGACGATGGTATTCATGGTTTTCTGCTTTCCCTCCACTGACGCTATATCAGCGCCGAGTCTACAGCAGCGCGCGTGTCCCGTCCCTCGCCCACAGGTGGGCGTTTCGAGAGACCCGTGCAGCGACATCTACGCCGGACCGAGACCTTTCTCCGAGCCGGAGACCCGAGCCGTCAGACGGTTCATTCTCAGCCACGCCGGCAAACTGGAAATGTTCCTCACCTTTCACAGGTAATGGTGTGTGCCCAGTAGGCAAACAAACGGTGGGCACTGGGCATGAAATATGAATGCATGATTGAAAGGGTATGTTTGTGAAAAGGAATCGAGAAATCCGTTCTATTAATTGCCTTTGCAGACTCTGAAGCGAGCTTTCGAAGTGTAAAGTAGTTCCTATAAGTAGATGTCACTGCTACCAAACGAGGAAGGTGCTCACTTGGTTGTACAATTACATTGCAATTTTCTTACTATGTTATGTGCAATATGCATACATTGCATTTGATCGTAAGCAGAGCGCATGTTATGGTATAGCATTGCCTCGTATCGTGATTATATCGTATACCTCCGTCAGTCCAGGAACAGATGAATAGGTTATAGGTACTCGTATTTCATATTCGTACAAAAAAGGGGAAATAGTACGAGTAGTCTGTCACACAGGGTCATTGGATATCTGATCACGCTTCTCATTCCGTTAACTATGTAGTAGGTAGGTACGCCAGTTCATTTTTTGCACCTCATTGATTTTAACATCGGGGAGGCCTATCGCTGTCAAACAGCAGTAACACACAGGTCACAGATGCACGGTGTTTCTCATCGATCGGTGTGGTCTGACGTGGGCCACTTGTCGAGGAGTTGGGCTGGGCAATAAAATGGCCGGTCCTCTGGCGCACAACGGGGCAGCCTACGCCCATTAATTGTACGAGGCTCATTTCGTATACGACAGAGACATTGAAAGTGCACCATTCAGATCGAAAGCAGATTGAGAGTTGAAATTAATGGATTCGGTATGTGGAACTGATCATTATTCGCGTGAAGCCATGAAGGTGAATTATGAGGAAAGAAATGCAGCACAGATCTTTCGTAAATCGTTTCTCTAGAGTCGTCATAAAATCGTAAATCGTAGATCGTTAGTCCTTAATTCGTTAATAAATTAGAATTATGTAGATGCATCAGTTGCCCGACGTTTCACTTTATGCGCTTCCACGAGAGCTGGTAAAGGCTGGTAATCAAATATTATCCTTTAGGAAGCCCTTTAAGAGGCGAATTAAGCAAAACGGTGGCAAATTTATGCATCTAATTGTAACTCATCAACGATTTAACGAATGACGATATACAACTGACGATTTCATGACGACTCAAGAGTACCGATTTACGAAAGGTCTCCCCTGCATTAGCCCGCGCCCCAGTGGCGGTCTCAGCCAACTTCGCCCTAGTGAGGGGGGGCATATGTTACCACCCACCTCTAACTCAAAAACTAAGAGGGCTAGAAAGACGCGGTAAAAAGCAGTCGATAGCTCTCAATGCGTATGTTTGAAAGTATGCCGGTCATTTTCGCCTTAGAGCAATATTGGGGTCACCACAGGTCATCAAAGGTCAAGATTTGCCAATTGTCATGATATTTTTCAGAAAACAAGCCGCTATCTCAGGAACTATGGTAGCTAGAAAAACGCATGGAAGTGCAATCGATAGCTTTTTAACTCTTCTTTTGAAAAGGTCATTATCAATATTGACCTCAGGTCAACGGTTTAGCCTCCAGAGGGCAAAAACTCCAAAAATAGCTGTTTTTACGAAAAGTGTTTTTCGACAATAACTTTCGACTACAAAAAGCCACGACATTTCTATTGCCAGAATCGTGTTCCCCTCGCCGAGACGCGTCGAATGAACTATAATTTGACCTTGAAAGGTCAAATTGAAAATTTGACCTCAGGTCAAGGTCATGACCTTACCGGAAAAGGTCATGTTGCATATCAGTCGATGCGTCTCAACAAGACAAACACAATGAGACCATCCCCAGCGTTCTATCTCTTTCCAATCGCGAGTTATTGGCAAAAAACTGTTTGTAGCCTCAAGTGACCTCGGATGACCTCTCTAGAGGCTATCAGCAAAAATGACACCTAGGTCATCACGAGTGGACTAAATCATTGTGATTCTAAAATATTTGGACTGTTCCGATGCGTACACAAGGATCTAGAGGCATTTTCATTTTTCTCCATTGACTTGTAATGGAAAGGTCACGCCACTGACCTGACCTTAGGTCACGGATATAAAAAATCCGAGATATACAAATTGTAGGCGACCATAACAGCATGCAATCCACCAAGTTTCAAACCTTTCCGACAAACACTGCAGGCTGGACATGATTGCAAACTTTTTTTAGGCTTGGTCAGTTAACTTGACCTGGTGACCTGACCTGACATGACCTGGGGTCAAAAATTTCACACATTGTCCAAAATTGATGTACCAAAAGCTACCCCAAGCGGCGCGGCGCTACGCGCCGCGGTTTTTTATTCACACGCAAAAAACGCGACAGGGTGGTAACATATGCCCCCCCCCCCACTGGGGCGAAGGTTAGCTTTCCCATCCTGTCTAATTTTATGAGCGTAAATTATACAACTGAAGTCAGCTGACTGTTCCATGTATGTCCGTGGGCGTGCTGTCGTCGACTCACGACTTACAGACGCGCAATTCACAGCTGCTGCCGCCGCTGCTGTAGCTGAGGTTGCTGCTGCCTGCTGCTTCCTAGCCGCTGACTGAGCTAACCATATCTGTCTTTGTCCCAGCTATCCGCAGCTGCTGATTGCTCTGTTGGTCGTGTCTGTCTGTCCCAGCTACTCGAAGCTGCTGACTGATCTGTGCGTGTCTGTCTGTCCATGTCTGTCTGTATGTCTGTCTGTCTGTCTGTCTGTCTGTCTCTGTCTGTCCGTGGCTGTCTGTCCATGTCTGTCTGTCTGTCTGTCTGTCTGTCTGTCTGTCTGTCTGTCTGTCTGTCTGTCTGTCTGTCTGTCTGTCTGTCTGTCTGTCTGTCTGTCTGTCTGTCTGTCTGTCTGTCTGTCTGTCTGTCTGTCTGTCTGTCTGTCTGTCTGTCTGTCTGTCTGTCTGTCTGTCTGTCTGTCTGTCTGTCTGTCTGTCTGTCTGTCTGTCTGTCTGTCTGTCTGTCTGTCTGTCTGTCTGTCTGTCTGTCTGTCTGTCTGTCTGTCTGTCTGTCTGTCTGTCTGTCTGTCTGTCTGTCTGTCTGTCTGTCTGTCTGTCTGTCTGTCTGTCTGTCTGTCTGTCTGTCTGTCTGTCTGTCTGTCTGTCTGTCTGTCTGTCTGTCTGTCTGTCTGTCTGTCTGTCTGTCTGTCTGTCTGTCTGTCTGTCTGTCTGTCTGTCTGTCTGTCTGTCTGTCTGTCTGTCTGTCTGTCTGTCTGTCTGTCTGTCTGTCTGTCTGTCTGTCTGTCTGTCTGTCTGTCTGTCTGTCTGTCTGTCTGTCTGTCTGTCTGTCTGTCTGTCTGTCTGTCTGTCTGTCTGTCTGTCTGTCTGTCTGTCTGTCTGTCTGTCTGTCTGTCTGTCTGTCTGTCTGTCTGTCTGTCTGTCTGTCTGTCTGTCTGTCTGTCTGTCTGTCTGTCTGTCTGTCTGTCTGTCTGTCTGTCTGTCTGTCTGTCTGTCTGTCTGTCTGTCTGTCTGTCTGTCTGTCTGTCTGTCTGTCTGTCTGTCTGTCTGTCTGTCTGTCTGTCTGTCTGTCTGTCTGTCTGTCTGTCTGTCTGTCTGTCTGTCTGTCTGTCTGTCTGTCTGTCTGTCTGTCTGTCTGTCTGTCTGTCTGTCTGTCTGTCTGTCTGTCTGTCTGTCTGTCTGTCTGTCTGTCTGTCTGTCTGTCTGTCTGTCTGTCTGTCTGTCTGTCTGTCTGTCTGTCTGTCTGTCTGTCTGTCTGTCTGTCTGTCTGTCTGTCTGTCTGTCTGTCTGTCTGTCTGTCTGTCTGTCTGTCTGTCTGTCTGTCTGTCTGTCTGTCTGTCTGTCTGTCTGTCTGTCTGTCTGTCTGTCTGTCTGTCTGTCTGTCTGTCTGTCTGTCTGTCTGTCTGTCTGTCTGTCTGTCTGTCTGTCTGTCTGTCTGTCTGTCTGTCTGTCTGTCTGTCTGTCTGTCTGTCTGTCTGTCTGTCTGTCTGTCTGTCTGTCTGTCTGTCTGTCTGTCTGTCTGTCTGTCTGTCTGTCTGTCTGTCTGTCTGTCTGTCTGTCTGTCTGTCTGTCTGTCTGTCTGTCTGTCTGTCTGTCTGTCTGTCTGTCTGTCTGTCTGTCTGTCTGTCTGTCTGTCTGTCTGTCTGTCTGTCTGTCTGTCTGTCTGTCTGTCTGTCTGTCTGTCTGTCTGTCTGTCTGTCTGTCTGTCTGTCTGTCTGTCTGTCTGTCTGTCTGTCTGTCTGTCTGTCTGTCTGTCTGTCTGTCTGTCTGTCTGTCTGTCTGTCTGTCTGTCTGTCTGTCTGTCTGTCTGTCTGTCTGTCTGTCTGTCTGTCTGTCTGTCTGTCTGTCTGTCTGTCTGTCTGTCTGTCTGTCTGTCTGTCTGTCTGTCTGTCTGTCTGTTCTAGCTACTCTCAGCTACTGAAGGTCTGTCCTGATCTGTGACTGATCTGTCCATGCCTGTATGCTGTATGCTGTCCTGTCTGTATGCCTATCTGTCGCAGCTACTCGCAGCTGTTGCTGCTGCCGTTCGGCTACAGCGAGGAGCGGCCACCAGACGACTCGCAGCTACTGAGTAGTCGGGCTCCATGTCTGTATGCCTGTATGTCTGTCTGTCTGTCGCAGCTACTCGCAGCTGTTGCTGCTGCCGTTCGGCTACAGCGAGGAGCGGCCACCCGACTACTCACAGCTGCTGCGGGTGGCCAAGTTGGGTCGGCAGCGCATCTTCAGCGCCTCCGGCACGTGGTTCAAGATCGGCCAGCCGTCCCAGCGGCTGTATCCAGTGTCGGGTATCTCGCAGGACTGGGCCAAGGCCCGCGCCGGCGTCCAGTACTCGTACTCGCTGGAACTGCGCGACCGCGGCAAGTATGGCCTGCTGCTGCCCGCCAGCCAGATCGAGCCCAGCGGAAAGGAGATGGTCGAGGGCGTCACGGCCATGATCGAGGAGATCCTCTGACTCTGACGTTACGAACTGGCGTGGCGGAACAGCTCGTGCACCTTTGCTGAGTGCTTTTAGTGGTGGATAAATATAGCTGTCTGGTCTTTTTTTTGCAAATATGACTATGCTTCGTTTGTGATCTTTTTCCCAAGCTTCTTTTACAGACATGTCAACATCCATAGTCAAGTGCATGCACAAGTTAGTTGGAAGGGCCCTCTCGCCCTTCCGCACGTAAAGGGCTCACTCTCTCGCTCGCTCGTTCCTCGCCCTAAAGGCGTTTTACTGGTGTAATATCTGGACCACTTTTCAGTACAATACCTTACAAGGATTGCCGTCTTGCAAAGGGAAATAAATAGAGCTTTAGGTACATAGGTAATTAGGTAAGCAACTTGAATACATCCATGACCAAACTCAAAGACAGGACTTGGACCTGCCAGACCTCAACGGGGCGCGGGTTTATTTTGCTGTTTGGTGTTTTCGTAAACACGATGCCTGTTAGAAAAGACAAAAATGTGTAAAACAGAACAGCTGCACACGCAACATTTATTTCCTACGTCGATCTTATATCCCGCGAGTTGCTGGGGGGGGGGCGTTAAACGCCCCCACTTTTTTCGCCGGGCCATAGGATAAAAACGGCGCGCCGCAGGCGCGCCAAATTTTGGGTACCTGTAGGGAATTGATTGAACTTTATTGTGACAAAGTTTCAAAAAAATCGGTCGGAAAATTTTTGAGATATCGAGGTTTTAGTGACGTCATGATTTCTGAGTTTTCGACCAAAAAACGGCATATGTTCAAAAAATCATATAAAATCACAGAATAGACATATAGACATGCCGTAAACGCCATTAGACTGCCAATACCATGATCAATCAAATGGCTATCTCCGATTATTGATTATTGTTCCGCATTTTCCAAAATCTTGAACTGAATCTTGGCAATTTCTCGTGACTACTTCACGACCATGATACATGAATTTCTTAAATTGAACTGTTTGAGCCAACCACGTACACATATGATAAAATGAATGTCACCATCGTGTTCTACGCTCCAAATTACCCATAATACATGTGTCACAGGCTGCGAATATCAGTTTTGATTTTCGGGGATATGTGCCTACCCGGTTGACCTGACCTTGACCCTGACCTATGCTTGACTGACCCCTACATGGAGCTGACACTCTTGTAGGCCTTACATGATGGATTGTGAACCGTTTTGACAGAGTTTTTAACGAGAGGCGCCCATTGCGAAGCCCTGAAGTCCATGCTACTGAAAGCCCGATTTCAGATGTTTGACCTGACCTTGACCCGACCTGTGACCTCAAAATTCAACTTAAAAGTACTCATCTGAAGCGTCTCGTCGCGTTCTTTCGTTTGCCGCCTCGTGCGTTTCGCTGCGCCTATTGGTTCTCGAGTTATCGGCTGGGGGCGTTTAACGCCCCCCCCCCCCCCAGCAAACGGTGGGTGGCGAAATACCCCAGCAACTGCCGGGATATAGTACGGTCTGTCGTGACATGAGACATTGGGTTTATTGAGCACCGACGATAACATGATACATGAACGGAATCAATCGCTGTTTTCAGCACACTGCACTCAATGAGTCCTCGTTTCTGACGTCCTAGCTTCATTCTGGTGTTGAAATATTTCCAGGGAACATTGGTTTACATACTAGGTGCGTTCAATAAGTATGTTCCGGAGAGCAATTACATAAAATTCACGCGGTCTACGCACGTGAATTTTTCAGGGATTAGAATTCAGACCTTTATGTCGAAGTGACCGCATTTTCAGTTTCTTATTCCATTTCTGTGACGATATGGAGCAGATCAAATAACACCATTTTTTTTAGACTGCTTTAGAAATGGCATCGGCCACCCAAGAGGATCAACGTTCATTGGTACGATTCCTAGCTATCCAGGGCTAGCCGGCGGCTAACATCCACACCAACTTCATGAATGTGTACGGGAGCCATGCTCTTAGTGATTCCGCAGTTCGGAAGCGGAAGAAAAAGTTTGGGGAGGGGAGGGAGAGCGTGCGCGACCTGGCACGTGCTGACAGGCTGAGGATGATGGTCACAGCCACTGACGTCGCCAAAGTGGAGGAGATGGTGATGGCCAACATAAATATTACTGTCCAGGCGATAACAGAAAGCCTAAATATAAGCCTACGCCAGGATCATTAGAGACCATCTCCTGCCAGTAATCGCCAGTTGCCGCCCCGAGAAGGCCCGTGGTCCGTTCATCCTCCACTAGGATAACGCGCCTCCTCACCGTGCCCTCGTGGCGAGGGATGCCCTGCAGGCAGAGGGCATCGAGGTGCTCTAACACCATCCCTACTCTCCAGACGTTGCACGCAGTGACTATTGGCTGTTCGCAGACATGAATAAAAATCTCCGGGGCCGGAGGTTCGTCTCACGGTCTGCACTCGGGTCTGCTATTTACCAGTATGGCGAAAAGACCCCACTCAAAGCTTCCGTGCGGCCATCCGGGACCTGGCCAAGCGATGGGAACGATGCGTTCGCCTGCAGGGCGAGTTCGTCGAGCCGTGAGCCATGTTTGGTTGAGATGTGCCAAAAAAATAAACGAGTTATATCAAAACGGAACTTACTTATTGAACATACTGGTATATGATACGATATGTGCAGGTGCGCCTACCTTGAAAACACATTGAAGAACAACTCTACAGTGTTTAGAATTTGATCCACTCGAAAAAAAAAACAGATGGGGAGGCCTCCGCCCATACGTATCCGAGACGGCCTTGTTTGTGAATTGATCAGTTGATCATAATTGATCGAGAAATGGGCTGTAAATGTGGGCATTCAGGATAGTCGGGAGCTGGCGAAAGATTTCGGCAGTCATACAATGGCGGTGCATATCATAGATAAACTGTTCTACGATGATAGAGAGCTACCAAAGGCCAGCTCTTTACCTTTCTAAGCCGATTCCGGCTATTACTTATCTAACAAACACGTCTACCTGATCGCCTAGCGGATGCTGTGGAGCGGTAAGCCGTACACGCGCTGTGGCCTAAAATCGATCAAAGGCCGCTAAAAAACAACGCCAAGCGTTAGTCGTATGTCACTTCAGTTTTATACCTAAGGCTTATGAAGCGTCAGGAGCCCTTGCCTATGGCTGGTCAAAAGTCTCATTGACTCGGCCGGGCCCGGGGGGAGAGGAGGAGCGGGGGGTATCCCAACCACCACAGTCCGGGGGGGGGGCGTTTTTCGCCTCCTATCTAAATCCGTAAATAAGGGAGCTACGAAACCAATGCGTTATACCAAACAAAACGTCTTTGCGAGACGATTCTGAACCACCTAACAATTTTGAATTCAGATAGATTTTCAAGGTCAGAGGTCAAAGTCAAAGGCAAAAACCGGTAGGTACCTACCTACATATGTAGTGATCCCAAAATAGGTGTTCTAAAAGTCCGCAGGATGTATACCTAAAACTGACTAAAATCGCCTCTTTTGAACGAATGTCGTTCTGAGCATGCTCTCCACTATCGTTTTTATGTAACCATGACGCGCTGAATCGGAAAATTGCACCCCCTGACCCCTCTGTGTGCCCCTGAGGTCATCTGAAGTCACGAAGTTCGCAATCAGTTTTTTCACTATAACTTTTGATAGAGACGTGCTAGATCGGTGAAAACACGTCAGATGTGTTCAGCGCGACGATATGGATCGATCACCTCTCACTGTGCATATGACGTCACCCTGTACTGTCCATATGACGTCACTATGTCATATGGACATATGCCACTATGTCATATGCTGTATGCTGTCCATGTATGTCCACAGCGTCCATATGAAGTCACTCTGTGCTGTCCACATGACATCACATCGTGCTGCCCATATAACGTCACTCTGTGCTATCCATATGACGTCACTCTGTGCTGTCCCTATGACGTCACTCGTGCTGTCGGTGACGTAGCGGTGTGCGCCTGCGGCCGCGGGTTATTGGTGGCCGGGCCGGTTTCCGTCTGAGGAGGACCGGTCCCTCCTCGGTCGGTCGTGGGGGTAGGGGCGGCGCGGGGCGGCGGAGGGGAGGTGTCTACAGGTGCCGCACTACTGCCCGTGCCGCCGCACCGTCAACATGGGCTGCCGGCGCGGAGAGCTGCCGGTGCTGGGAGCGGTGCTGGCGCTGGCGCTGCTGGTCGGACCGCGGGTGCTGGCCCAGAGAGCTGACATCGAGCTGGTGCCGGCGCTGAGCGGCGGAGATGGCCCCGGCCCGGTGACCTACTCGGGCTACCAGGTGCTGCGCGTGCAGGTGACCGGCACCGACACCGCCGAGCTGCTCAGGAGCTATGAGAACAACCCCGGTGAGTAGCCGATTCACGGCGCGGCGGGGCCGATAGGCGACGGTGTGGCTCCGAGGGCTGTCAGCGTGACGCCCACTTCTTCAGTTGACCGGGCTGTCTTCAGTTGACAGGGATGCGCGCATATGGCATTTAGACCGTATGCCATTGATAGCTTTAGACAAATGCCATAGACCATAGGTCAGCCATATGCGTATGGCAATTAAGAATTTCAATGTGATACACAGACTATGTTAACCCTCGCCCGCACATGCCATTTTCCCATCCTAGAACGCACATGGGGGGGGGGTGGTTGCCACCCCCCCCGCGCCATTTCGTTCCTGTTGGAGATAGAGCTTAGCAGTAAAGACCAAAAAGATTCTTTGGGAAGAGACGAATCCAATGATACCCAGTTTTACCTTCTCAGGTCAGTCATTGACCTTCCAGGTCAGGTCAAACTAAAAAATGTTGCTGTTTTGGGTCACCGTTGGATATCAAGTGCGCTGCTTATCAAATACCGATGACGATGCTGTTTTCTGGTGCCAAGCCAGCTAGAACCTCTTTGTCACACTATCCGACCAGAATTTTGCTGCTGAGGTCATTTCAGGTCAAGTTAGGTCAAGGTCAATTATATGTGTTTGTATGTCTGTGTGTGTCTGTGTGTATACTGATGTGTGCACCGATTGTTTTTGGGTCCATATCACATGAAATCATGATCTGAGAAGCTTTTACCAAAAATGCAGTCAAAAAACTTCACAAAAAGTAAATTCAGCTTGCCTAAAACGCAATTATCTTAGATGACCTAGGTTGACCTTGACCCTGACCTTGACCCCTGTACATCGTCGAACAACATGTTCCATGATAGGTGGGAGGTAAGACTGGCAAAAAAGGCCGAAATCAGGGTGTCAAAAGCTCACAAGGCCCATGGCAAACGCAAGATGTTGAGAATTGGCCATTTGGGTCATGACATGACCTGAAAAACAAGGTCATATCTCCGAAACCAAAAATCACAGAAACTTGAAATTTGCAGTGGACATCAAGAAAGGATAGACGAGCAGCTATACGAAAAATCAGCCTTCTAGCTCTAAAAATGTTGAGTGCAGAGCAGAAAGACTGCCTGGGGGGGGTGGCAACCACCCCCCCCCATGTGCGGGCGAGGGTTAATTGTAAAGGTTATTCCCGGACTCTATCCTGCCTCAGGGATGGGGAGGGCATTGGGGCGTATGAACGCCCTTTTTCGATTTGCCGAATTGGGCGTGATTTGTATTGCATGCTTAGAGGTCACTATTGCCTGATCATCTCTCCTGATCACAATTAGGGGAAAGTGGGGTATGACGGGCATGTTAGTTTTGCGGGTCTGTACCTCTGAAGTCTTTTCTTCGATTGCTTCACCAATTTAGCACAACCATCTTCAGGCATTTTTCTTTCAGTGCCCCTTTGACACCTAAGGTCTAAATCCAATACTTTTCAATTGAGAGTGTTTTTAGCAAGACCCTGCAAAAACCCGTCTTACCCCACCGGGGAGGGTAAGACGGGCACTGATGTTGGGGCAAGACGGGCACAACGTTAGTTTGAACTTCTTTACATATTTACTGCCGAATAATTATGCTAATACATCTTACACATCTGGCTTTTGATCTTACAGTCAATATTGTAAGGTTCGTAGCATCGCACGGCTACTTATAGGCGTAATGGTATTGATCGATGTAATGAAAAAATTAAACAAATTCAAAGCTGTCTATTTAAATAATTTCGATGGAAATGCGTTGCAAATGATGTAGAACAGCGTAAGTTAGCTTAAAATAACAATATCAGATGGTTTGCATTCCTTTCATCATTGTTGCCCGTCTTACCCCATTCGGCTGCCAATAAGGATATCACACCGCCTCCGGGCACCAAATTAAAGGATTCATTCGCCAGCATACACATTTGGATGACACCCTAAGACGAAACTCTCATCAAATTTCCAAAACAAAATATGAAACAGCGAGGTCAGAAAACACTACGAAACACGATAGTTCTGCTTAGAGTGCAAGGCACGTTTTTAGCTTTTCCACAATTTTTCAAAAACTATTTAAGATGCGTACCTCTGCCTTCACCTCACAGCAAAGAACCACACGGCCGATTACCAACCACAACAAGAGGTTGCTAGCGCCAACGGTTTGGGCTAGAGGGCCGGTGCCCGTCTTTCCTACCCCGCCCGTCTTACCCCACTTTCCCCTAACTCCTTTGCAGTCGGTAGTTGCAGCTCGTTTGGCAGTCTGCACGCACATTGCACACTGAGGGATCAAAGTGGACATTTGGGGCATCATCAGGGGTGGATTTTTATATTAAGTTGGGGTTGCACGTGCAACCCCAACTTTGAATTGTGCAACCCCAACATCGGTTTGTGCAACCCCAACTTTACAACTGAAATAGATCGGCGGGCGACTCGAATGGTGCCGCCCCCATAACCCTGAGCCATCCCAAAACTCTATGCCACCCGTTGACTTGGCACCATCTTTCAAAAGAGCCCTACCGATCATGTAGGCAATAGTCACCCCTCAACTATCTAGTGTAGTTGCCGCCTCCTCAGACCTCAAATGTAGGTGCCGCTCCCTCGAATGTAGGTGCCGCCCCCTCGAATGTAAGTGCCGCCCCTCGAATGTAGGTGCCGCCCCCTCGAATGTAGGTGCCGCCCCCTCAAATATAAGTGCCGCCCCCTCGAATGTAGGTGCCGCCCCTCGAATGTAGGCGCCGCCCATTAAATGTAGGCGCCATCCCCTCGAATGTAGGTGCCACCCCCTCGAATGTTGGTGCCACCCCTCAAATGTACCTAAATGCCGCCCCTCGAATGTAGGTGCCGCCCCCTCGAATGTAAGTGCCGCCCCCTCAAATGTTAGTGCCGCTCCCTCCCTCGAATGTAGATGCCGGCCCTCCTCGAATGTAAGTGCCGCCCCCTCGAATGTAGGTGCCGCCCCCTCGAATGTTAGTGTCGCACCCTCGAATGTAGGTGCCGTCCCCTCAAATGTAAATGTCGCCCCTCGAATGTAGGCGCTGTCTCCTCGAATGTAGGTGCCGCCCCCTCAAATGTAGGTGCCGGCCCTCCTCGAATGCAGGTGCCGCCCCCTCAAATGTTAGTGCCGCCCCCTCGAATGTAGATGCCGGCCCTCCTCGAATGTAGGTGCCGCCCCCTCAAATGTTAGTGCCGCCCCCTCGAATGTAGGTGCCGGCCCTCCTCGAATGCAGGTGCCGCAACCTCAAATGTTAGTGCCGCCCCCTCGAATGTAGATGCCGGCCCTCCTCGAATGTTGGTGCCGCCCCCTCAAATGTACCTAAACGCCGCCCCTCGAATGTAGGTGCCGCCCCCTCAAATGTTAGTGCCGCCCCCTCGAATGTAGATGCCGGCCCTCCTCGAATGTAGGTGCCGCCCCCTCAAATGTTAGTGCCGCCCCCTCGAATGTAGATGCCAGCCCTCCTCGAATGTAGGTGCCGCCCCCTCAAATGTTAGTGCCGCCCCGTCGACTGTAGGTGCCGGCCCTCCTCGAATGTAGGTGCCGCCCCCTCAAATGTTAGTGCCGCCCCCTCGAATGTAGGTGCCGGCCCTCCTCGAATGCAGGTGCCGCCCCCTCGAATGAAGGTGCCGCGCCGCCCCCTCAAATGTTGGCCCCGGCCACTTATGCATAGGTGTCATCGGTCATCCCATAAAATGTAGCTGCCGTCCCTTCGAATGTAGATGGCACCCCCTAGGGTGTAGTTGCCGCCCCCTAAGGCCTAGTTGCAGTGCAGCCCCCTCAAATGTAGGAGCCACCCCCTAAGTGTAGGTGCCACCCCTTGAAATGAAGGTGCCTTTCCCTCACATGTAGATAGATGCCGCCCCCCCCCCCCCATGCGTGGGTGCCGCCCCTCAAGTTAGGGTGCTGCCCATAAAATGTAGGTGCCGCCCCCTCTGTAGTGTAGGCGCTGCCGCCTCAAGAGCAAATGTCATCGCCGCCCCCTCTAATGTAGGTACTACCCTCCTCTCAAGAGCTTGAGCTGTCACAAGGCCGTATAGAGCTGTCGGACATGCAAAAATGACCAGTTAAAAAAACCGTGGATTTCGATTCCTGGTGCGCCGCTCACCGCTCAGTGGGGGGTGGGGGTGGTGCCCACTCAGTGGAGGTCGCAGGGGGGCATCAGGGCCATGGACCCCCAAAGACAAATCAGGGGCCATCATATAATTTGCCCCCTTAAACAACCGATGGGTCCCGATGGGCGTAGGGGCCCTGGCTCTTACCCGATTGTCACGAGGCTCAAGAAACAAACGCCAGGTATTATGTAACAGCCCCCATACCGGTCTTTGAGTATCCTGACTTCTGAGGGCGCTTCAGTGGCCTTCAAGGGCCCACCTTGACCGATGAGGGCCCACATCAACCTCTCAGGGCCCTCCACTGGCCCTTGAGGGCCCTAAAGCGGCATCAGGAGTCCCCAACCGGCCTTTGAGGGCCCCACACTGATCTCTTGATGGCCTCATTTCTGTCTCTGGGGTTCAGGACTGACCTTTGGGTGCCGGTCACTAAGAGCCCGCATCGACCTCTGAGGGCTTCAAACTGGCCTTTGAGGACCCTGTACTGGTCTCGAGGGCTCCCAAGCTGGTCTCTAGGGGTCCACGCCTCTAATGGCCTCATTTCTTTTTCTGGGGGCCCAAGACTGGCCTTTGGGTGTCCCCGAGGGCCCGTACTGACTTCTTAAGGCCCGATGCCGGTCTCTAAGGGTCCACATCGGTCTCTGAGGGCCATATGCTGACCTCTGGGGTCCAACACCGACCCATGCTGGTCTTTTAGGGCCCCACACTGACCTCTGAGGGCTCCACGCTGCCCTGTAAGATACCACACCGGCATGTGAGGGCCCACGTCGGCCTCTGATGGTTCCAAACTGCCCTTTGAAGCCTCTGTACTGGTCTCTGAGGGCCTCACACTGCCGGTACAAACCCACGCTGGTCTTTTGAGGGTCCAAACTGGTCTCTGACGGCCCGAACTGGCCTCCTAGGGCCCAACACCGTGGCT